GGAGGAGAGAGAGAAAAAACGTGGAGAGACTTGGAGATAGTGTCTCAAGATTGGCGACTCAGTTGAATATATGATTAGGCTCTTCAACTGATCTGCAGAGTCTTCAACAAATTTATCCATTTTACATCTGTCTCCAATTCTCTCTCCTCGTCAATAAACACTGGACGGACAGAGAGAGAGAGAGAGATAAAAGGACGGCATAATTTGCACTTTATTTGAAATGACAAAGAACCTCTCAAGTCTCTGCCAAGTCTCAATAAAAAGACGATATTGATGCATTTGGAGATTAGATTAGGAGCAGAAAAAAATCTGGCCAATTGGCATAACATCCCTTAGTCATGGGTAATTTAATCCTCTGAACAATATCAATCTCGCCGCAATATTGAGGGAAACCTTCTAACATTCTGGATGATCGCCTCTTATTTCTCCATCTTCTGCGCGCCTCTCAATGTGTCCTCATAATGGTTAATTCGAGAGGGAGTTTCGGTTGAGCCTCCATCGCTGAGATCGTGTTTCATCGCGCCAAGGAGGTTCGGAGAGGGTGAAAAAAAAGGCCGCCTGAAAAATGAGGATCGTGATCATGAATATGGTCAATTTAAATTAGACGAAGCTCAGGAATCTGTCTGCTCGGCTGAGTGTCTTCTCAAGGGGTTTTTCTGAGACTTGTGTCTCTGGCTTTATTCAACACTTTCTGCTGCAATGATCACATCATCAGCAGCCTTTTTTTCTCCTCCATCCACAATCACTCTTCACGTCTCACTGTGGTTTCCAGCAGATTCACTGCTCTGCCCGCCCTTTTTCTGCTCCTCCGCGCGCTCTGCATTTTCAGTCCAATTTCCTGTCTCGTTGCGCCCTTTTTTCCACTTCTTCTTACACTCCGCGCAGCACAAGAACATCTCTTGTGTTTATTCCTCCACGCGTCGTCAGATGAGAAAATATGTATTTCACGTCCATGCGCGCCCCTTCCGCCCCCCGGATCTCCGTGTGTGGCTGGTGGATCTCGCGAGATGCCAACGCGTCGCTGAGCCTCTCGTCTGTCAATGTGCACTTCACATCGATTTCCGCTTCTGACATTCTTTCCTCCACTGTCACACACATCAAGTCCAGGAGAGATTATCAGCGTCATCAGTGGCATAGAGAGCACCATTTATAGACTCCCAAGCGACATCTCTTCTGCTTTATGGTCTGCCTTTCCTGCAGTCACTCTCGATCCTCAACCATATCATATGCACTGATCTGTCCCTCTCTCGACCTCTGACAAAGGCCACAAACACTCACTCTTCCACTCCGTGTAATCCTTCAGCCTTTGAGCCTCTCGCCGCACAGCAGGATCATCACTCTGTTCCTTCTTCCACCCCATTGTCCGGACACTTCATTGCCATAAGGATGACTTTGTCTCCATTCACGACTCACGGATCGTAATTCCTTTCTCAGCTCCTCTCTCTGCTCTTTTGTTGCCAATTGCATGCGACAATTAAGCTCCTCCAAGTTCCAGCAAAAAGGCTCTCGAGCAGCACAAAAGCAACAAGCCTCACTGCAGGCTCAGGAGGTCAGGATAAGGCTTGGAAGGCTACGAGGCCTGAGAGTCTAATTCAGTGTCTCTGAATTCATTTCTGATTGCAAGAAAGAAAGACTTCCAGACACTTCTGAACGCCTTTAAAGGCAATTTTCCGACTTAAAAAATTCTTCTTCAATTAATCTTATTTAGTAGATAAAGAGATTTAATTTGCAGCTTTAAAGCTCAAATCGCGAAAAAAAACCTAAGAAAAAAGACCGAAGTTATATATTTGAGGTTATGATTGACTTTTAAGCTCTTTTCTATTACTGAAATAAAACAAATCTAAAGATTTCTTTGCACAAATCTTCAATTCTGCGAAGAAGAAAGGGAATATTTCCAGAAAAAAACATAAATTTGATGATTCTGGAGGTTTTCTAATCCCCCAATATCTATCTTAAATAAATAACATAACCTAGAAAACCAATAAAATTGATTTCTTAAGTAAAATAATTTAGAAGAATAATTTAGACCGTAATATGTCGCCCTTGCCTTATTGAATCTATCTAGATAGACTCAAATCGAGGCTAAAAATCTTCAATCTGCGATCAAGTGAATTGCGAGTGGCACAATTATTTACTCCTTAATCTGTATTCACGAGAAACACCTTGAAAAATCCCCTCGAAAGTTTCGCAATGCTCTTGTTTATCGTGGTTAATTGGTTGCTTATAATCATGCTTTTGCTGTCATCATTTAGCATGTGATTTGAATAATCGCATCTGAGAAGGAAAATGCAACTTGAGTGATCAGAGGCAAAGTGAGCTCAAATCACTTCAGAAGCATTTCATACCTCTTCGCGGGTCGTGTTTTTTTTCCCACAGAGCGTCTGAAGTCGTAAATGGCAAAGATTTGTGAGAGTAAATGAGTCAAATGTGCTTGTTTCATTTATTTCCTCTCGCCATGTAATCGCTGACGACCTGTTGATTGCATCAGGAGGGCCTTTTCCCACCTCTGACCGAGGCATCACTCTTCGCAGCCACTCTGTGGCTCTTTAGACTTGTCTTTAGAGCCAGGAAGACAAGATGCCCGCGGGGAGCGATATTGTCTGGCGAGCATCGCGTGATGTATTGGTGGGCAAAGCTCGGGCCGCGAATTCACGTTTTCAGCTTTGGTCAGATGAGAAATGTAGAGGAGCGGATTTGTATGCAAAATATGCTATTTCCTGTATGTGCCAACATCGATGGGAGCCACACAAGAGCGGGCCTATTCCGCGCGCGCGATCGTGATTGGGATTGATGACGAAATGGAGTGCAAAACAGCCAACACTCTTTCAGTGGCCTCTGCAATCACGCGTCCACTTTTATTGCTTTTCTTTGATGAGGCGCAAATAAAAGAAATATATATACACCTTCGAATTCGAAGAGTGAGAAAAAGAGAAAAAAATGTGTGTGACAGAAATTTAACACCTCGAGAGAGAAACTGTCGAAGAATCCATGGACATTTTACGGCTCTGCTGAATAATTGATGACATGCCGCTGGGAGTCTATATCCTCGAGGAGATTCTCTCTCCTCAAAAGGAGCATTCAAGCTCTCCTTGGTGAGCGCTAAGGGGGAGATATTATGACTAGGAGTCATAGAAACTGGAAATTTTTGACGATATTTAGTTCACTGATCTGAATTTGAAATCAATTCTTGATCAATTCTGCAGCTTTGACAAATTTTTCTAGGTTATGTGGCTTTATTTTAGACTAAAAATTATATAAGATGAAAAATTTGTGCGCTTTAAATGCAATTATTTGCATTAACAATCAGAATGGTGCATTTAAACTGAATTAAAATAGTGATTCTGGATGCTTAGCGATAAAAAGCAACACCAAAGTCAAACATAACCCCAAATTTTACATCCAATACTTTCGCTTTTGAGCTAGAGAGATTCTAATCGAGATCGTGGCTGAAGAAAAACCTCAAATCAACCTCAAACAATCCATAAAGTCTTAAGAGGGAAGTTTTTAAGCATCAAAAGCTGCTTCTGACCGAATTATCTCCCCCTTGACTCTCTCTTTCTGACCAATATTTTGGGAAGGGACAGAAAAAAAATCTCAGGATGGATATTGAGTGCGATGGTTTGACTAAAATTGATCACCTTCCAGAGAGAAGAGAGGCGAAGGAGAGAGAAAGAGAGACTTTAAACAGGAAATTGGAACATGAAAATGATCTAAGAGTGAATTGTGGAATTTCTGGGACGCATTCACTCTTCCTTTTTGTCAATTTCATTTATTGTGCTCTTTTGGTATTTATTTGGTGAAAAAAGAACTGGGAGAAGAATGGAAGAGCAAAAATGTGGAAAAAAGACATGACACAATAGATCATCATATTCTTGACTGTAACTATATCGAATCTTTTCTTCCTCAGGCTGTGTAATCTTCTTCTCTCCTTCAAGTGCTAATGCTCAGTGGCCAGAGGTGTTCACAGATGCTGCAATTGAGCGGAGACATGACGTCGGAAGCGTTATTAATTTAAATATATCCTGCACGTCTCACGGATGGATTTTGATGGGGAGAAGATTTAATGAAATGAGTGAGCTTTCTCGGACGATCCTCCAAATATAAATTTAGAGATCATTATCATCAAATGTGGATAATAAATTAAGTGATGTGCGAGAGAGAGAGAGAGAGAAAAAATACGATCACTCTCAAAGCATATTTGTATTCTCATCGGCGCAGTTCCACGTTCAAATTACAAGCGGAAAACAGTAATGATTCCCATTTAGAAGGAAAATAAATATCACGCGAATGTTTATAATAGATTTATTCGGGCTCCTGAAGACACTTCTCCATAACGCTGATGATCTTCAATCTCTCCCCGAAATGCGCGCATCAGAATAAATTTCCCCCCTTCTTTTTCCACACAACAACCCAACAATAATAAATTGATTGGGTTGTTTTTCCTCGATCGCGTGGCTGGAATTGATTCGAGGGATTTTTTTTAATGTGAAATTGTACACTTTTCTCATGATACAATAAACAAAAATACACTTTGTCCATGTTGGGGCGCGCTCTTGCAAGAGAGTCTTCTGGAAGAGAGTGTAAGAAGAAAGAAAAAAAAGAGTCGAGGCAACAATAAAAGATCTCATGTACACAGTCGAGTAATGTCTTATGGCATGATCAATTATAACCGAAAATTACGAAAATCGAAGGCACACAGAGTGTTCACGGAGGAATAGTTAGTTATGTCTGCATTTTACGATCGTTTTCTCGTCTCACAGGGAAGGTAAAATGTGGAGAGCTTTTTGCCGATCTGTTGCTTCATTGCGGCGCGCGCGAGTCTATTTTCTGCCATTGCACAAAAACAGCCCAAAACATCTCCTTTTCCAATTTGTTATGCAACAAAGCTGATGATGGTTGGAAATTAAAAAGTGAAAAATGCGCTCTCTAAGCCCACTTTTCCCTCCTTTGCGGCCGGGTGGAATTTCTTAATGCTATTCATCTTCACGTCGCCCGATAATTTAATCAATAGAAGAGATGATGGAATTATTGGGCGACGTGCTCTGAAAGAAGACAAAACCACACAGTAAAAATCAATTTTCCCCAAAACGGAAGTTACACCTGTTTTCTGTTTATTCACACGAAATTCTTGAGATTCACAATCAATTGAGTGCGTGGAATATTTTATTGAAAGCCCAACACAGGCGCGTTCAGCGGGAGAAATTGACTAGAATACCAAATATGCGCGCTCCGCCGCGACTCCCTTCGCGTCTCCTGGCGCTACAGATGGCCGCTGAATTCGAATTGGGGGAATCCCGCGCCGAGCCCCAGAGCCACCAGCAATTCCTGCCGCACAAGACAAACGGAAGCTTCACATTTGCGTGCGATTTGAACAATTTTCTCAAGCAGTGCCAGAGAGAATTCTGGGAAGAATCCTACTTTAACCCTTTCACGACGACTTTTACTCATATTTCTCAAACTCTCCTTGATGCAGACAATAAAAAGGACATGAAAGTATCTAAAAGGATGCATTTTTAGACTTCTACAGCTCTATATTTATGTTGAAATAAATCATTAATAAACTGCTAAGGAGTTTTTCCATTACGTAGAAATGTCGGTAAAATAGGGAACTTATCGATACAAACAAAATGCTTGATTTTTCCTTTTTAACACAATTTTAGGGGAAAATTAGAACTGATGTGGCCTAATAATTCCCTTAATTGTCGATTTTAACTGTATTCGCCGTAATATTGTGTTAAATTTGGTTAAAATTCATTGTCAATAACTCAATTGTCGATAACTTAAAGTTAGTGGAAAATGACGCTGAGATTGACGAGAAAACTTTATTTATCTTGAATTATTCTTTACAGAAGCTTAAATCTTGCTTAAATCAGAGGAGGCAACATTTCCCGTCAATTGAAACACATTTTTTCGACGGATTTTCGCAAAATTAAGCGTTTCACTCTCGTCAGGTCTTGATAAGAACTCCTGATCAATTCTTTGAGCTGGTTGAGAGCGTCTTTTAGGCCGTGGATACTCTAAACAAGGAAAAACTCAAGGAAATTGTAATAATTACAAGCTCAAATCGAAAAACGTGAGGTTCAATTGCCATTCTTTTCCTGGCGATGAATAAGAAGTTCAACAGACTGAAAAGAGTCTCTGCAATTGATTTTCTTGATCAACAAGTGAATTTCGGCCTCTAAGATTACATTGTCTTGGTTTTCTTGTGCTGTGCAAAATGTTTAGTCCACAATTTTCCAACTGTTCGAACAATTTTCATTTATCTGGTAATTTTTACCAGGAAAAGCCCTTAAGAAGCTGGTCGTTGTGAAAGGGTTGAGAGGACTTTTGCATACCTGAATGTACTGCGTCGCCTTGCGCAGCGTCTTGACTTTACTCACGCGCTTCCGGCGATTTGATATCGCTGGCACCACCTGGCGGAGCTTCTCGTAAGCCTCGTTCACCGCCTTCACGCGACTTCTCTCCCTGGCATTGCGGATCTGCACCGTTTGGGGCTCACTTGGCGCCGCGGCTTTGGTTCTGCGCCTGCTTTTCCCACCTGAAACGCTCCGAAGCTCTTGAGAAGATCAGCACATTGATCGCTTGTTAGGAGTTTTACCGGAGTTCCTGGGCTTCCAGTGGTCGCTCTGGTGATGCGGAAATGCGCAGAAGGACGAGAACTTCGTCATGACTCGCCGAGAGGGATGTTTCCTGAGGGCAGGCGGAATGGCAACTGAGGAAGGCGCGTTTGGACGAAATTTCCCAGTGACACGAGCGCAATTGATATGTGGACGGCACGAGCCAGTGACTCCGGGGAGTCGCAGAGAGATTCCCGCCCGTATTCCTGATCATGCGGGTGATTGCGACACCCCCAGAGCGCGTCAATTGGGCAGGTGGGAAGGAGACGCAGCGCACTGTAATTACCTTTTTAATATAATAATTTACACATTTCGTCTAAGACAGTTCCGTCACGCGAAAGATGTTCTATAGAGTTTGATGGTAGGAGGAGGACTTGTCCTCCTGGCGTCTAGCCGACGATCAGCGTGCCGTCGTCTGGGAAAGTGTACGCGGGAACTTCTAAGTTGAGCGGCGCCGGGCCCTTCCGGATGCGTCCGGAGGCGTCGTAATGCGAACCGTGGCACGGACAGTAGTAGCCGCCGAAGTCGCCGGCATTGGCGATGGGCACGCAGCCCAGATGGGTGCACACGCCGATCACCACGAGCCACTCCGGTCGCTGGACGCGCTCCTGCAACGAATCAAGAGTGTCAGACAGTCAGCGCGCTTCCCTGCACATCTGTACTCACGGAATCCGCCTGCGGGTCGCGCAGCGTGGCCGCGGCCACAGACTGCTCAGTGGAGATCTCTTCGGAAGTCCTGTGGCGGATGAAGAGTGGCTTTCCGCGCCACTTGAATGTCGCCGATTTGCCCTCCGGGATGTCCGACAGCTTGATCTCGATCTTGGCCATGGCCAGCACGTCAGCGGACGCGCTCATGGAGGAGATGAACTGCGTGACCAGAGCCTTAGCGGCGTAGGTGCTGCCCACAAGACTACCTCCAACGACAAGGTAAGTGAAGGAGTTCCTGTCCTCCACGGAAGTGCTGCTCTTCTTCGTGGGCTTCGACACGGAGTCGCGACGGTAGGCCGAGAAGTCGGGCACCCTGAGGTCCGTGTGCGAGAACCTCACCTGCGTGGTCACTGCAAAAAAAGCCCCCAAGTCAGCGACATAACCTCACTCTGTGTTATGTAACATTTCCCAGTGGATTCCCTTATGCAACCCCCGGAGGACTCACCGACTGGGCCTGACTTCACGCTCACCACATGCTTGGGCAGCTGGGCGTTGAGCGTGGCACTCGTGGCGGGCACCACGGGGCCCTGCACCACGGGATCCTTGGCGACCGAGACACCAGCAGCCACTGGCTTCAGTCCGGACGCCACCACCTGCGACGTGGCCTTCAGGTATTGCGGCAAATTGGCTGCGCGTGTCGCGATGTTGATCATCTTGAGTCTGCCAACACTTTATGCCCGCGAAATACTCGGAAAACCACCCTTTTTCCAAAGGTGAAAAAACAATCGAATGGCTGGGAACAGTCTGACAGAAACTGTGCTCACAGCCCGGCTGGCGATGCGCAATTGATGGACTGTCAAAATGCAATTTGCTGTTTTTCACCCTTTTCGAGAGTGAAAATTCACTGAGGATTCTTTTATTTGCAAAGTTATTGATGTCAGAGAGTTTATTTCACTGAAATCCGCAAGTTTTGCATACAAATTGAGAACAAACGAGGATGAGAGTGATTGACAATATGTTCACCTGCAGAGGGCACTGCAAGATCTCTTACGTTTATCAAAGACACACACTTGAAATTTTAGTACGAACGAATTTGAATTACAACGAATCGAAAATATTTTTTATTCCGCTTTCGAAAATCAATTATCAAAATAGGGACATGAATTTCAAAATGAAATGAATTTGAGAAATTTGTGCTTTCTATTCGTTAGCATTTTGTACTTTATTGATTTTTTTTTATTAATTAAAAGTATGTAATAAAGACGATTTTATGTCTATTGACACAAATTCTTTAAATTACCTAAATTCTTATCGAGTTTCTCTTCGCCATTCATCAAAAAGTAGTCTGAAATCTATTTCTGCGGCACAAAGAATGTCATTTGAGAGGAAATTCGCCCTCAATGGGTAATAAATAATGTAGAGACAAGGAGTAAACAGCAAAAAGTCCGAGGGAGAACCTCTCGAAAATCAATAGAAGGAAGCGAGAGTGGAGCTTTCGGTGGACGTACAAAAAGAGTCAAACTACTTTAAACTCTGATTGCGTTTCCTCCGCATCTCTCTCTCTCTCATCCCGAGGTCGGGCGAGGCGCTGTTCCACCCACTCCGCCCACCCATTCGTCACCCTGCCCAGGCTTTAATTTCAAACTGAAAACTTTTCGCATGGCGGGCGGTGGGCGAAAGGGTGGCCCGGGATGAGGGTAGTTGTCAGCAGCCAGCGCACATAGCAACTAACGCTGTCTATTCTCCGCTGGCAAATGCCACAGTTCCGGACCGACTTCCCTGCAAACTAGCATGTGCGTATTGATTGGCTGCGCATAATGACTGCACGCACCACCCCCTGCGCCCGGGGATGGGGCCGTCCTGCTCCTATCTCTGCATCCTTGCTGCTGCTGCCGCTGGAGCGCCAGGGCGGCACTCGGAAGCCCGGGATTTGTTCCCACTTTCAGCTCGTGTCTCAAGAAGAAACGCAGATTCTTAGGCTTATTGCACAGGTTTTGCTTCACTCTGTCGCTAGAGGCGCTACAATCGAAAAACTGTGTTTTTTAAATGTGAAAGAACTGCTATAGTTTATGTAATTTAAAAAAATATTATGAACAATTAATTTTTTATGACTTTTTAATTGCTAAAATATCATTCATCTTTTCTTAAATTGTTAATTTGGTGAAAAATAGTCTTCGCAAGTTCGGAAACTGAACAAAACTCTAAAAATTAAACCATTTTTTGAATATTTTTCAAGAATATTTTTAAAAATCGTGGAAACCTGGACTTTTGGGAGGTTTTCAAGGCTTCCGAGTGCAACTCTGGACTCCGTCGAAAGTGAAAAACGTCATGATGCTGAGGAGGGTTGGAGTGGGCTCCGCCACCCACTTTATCTCTCACTCTCGCAGCCGAAGTGCCACCTATAGAAAGTACCTAAGCACGCACACAGAGGCGGGAAATCTGTGGAGCGAGCGAAAGCTCTGAAGCCGCACCGATGTTGCGTATCTAGGCGTGTTATTTAGGTCACGAATACAAATAGGAAATGGTGTGTGTTTCGTAGGGGAGGGAAAGTGTGCGGTGGATGTGTTCCGCCTGGAGGGAAAGGCACCGGGAAAAGCGAGGGCTTTTGTGATGAATCCCCACCGCCGCCGCCCTGCTTTTCGGGGGGGCGCCCGCACCCTTTGTCAGGGCGCGCGGGTGGGAAAATAGTGAAAGTTCTGCACACATTTCACTTTCTCTTTTTGCTGACTCCTCTCCTTTTGCTCTTGCCTTGGCAACCCCCCTGCTGGCATCCTCGTCCGCCCCCGCGCGCACCCCCCCGAGCACAGCCGAGGGCGTCTCGCTCAGGCGCACGGCGCGGCCGCGGCCGTCCCTGTCGCCCTCCCAGGACGATAACAATGCAATCTACGCAACGCGATTACATCCAAGTTGTAGGTCATGTCCTTCAGGGGGTGGCGCGGCGGGGTGGGGCGTGCGCGCCCTCTGGCTCAGTGTGTTTGTGTGCTTCTGACGAGCTCTGTGGCGAGGCTGGAAAAAAGCTCGAGGAGAAGTTATCTGGGTCTCGTTTGATTTTCTGCTTCCATGCTCGGTGAGGGCTTCGCACAAGAGTGGGATTAGCCGCCCAGGCGATTCGGAGGGGGTGGGGGGGGGTGGGCCGGAGAGCAGAGAAGTTTTAAAGTTTCCCCGAGAGCACTTGATGTACCGCGAACACGAGATGACAGATAAATTTTCATTATTCCGGGTTGCAAAAGCTCCCACTTTTGCCGCCCATGTCAGAAATCACCCCCAAAAACCCTCTCTTTCCCTCTCTCACCCCCGCCATTATCTATGAAATGTGGGACTCTTGTGTATGAGGAGTTCCTTGTGGTTTTGTTAAGTTTTCACTTTCTGTAATTTCTCGCTCTCTTGCGTCTCCGCAAATACACTCTCTCCGCCCCGGAGCTTCTGCCGCCCCCGCGCGCAGCCAACTGGGAAAACGCCATCGACGTATCTCTGCAGCATGGCAGAGAGGATTTTCCCAGGGAAAAGATGAAAGGAGTGAAAAGTTTATCCGATTATATATTCAACTATGGGAAAATTTCAAATTGAGATTCAGTACCAGTATCGACGCTTCCCATCATGTAGCTTTTCAGTTTTCGCCAAAAAGGGGTTGGAATGACGACGATGAGGCTCGAGAAGATGGGGTTGAAAAGAAGTTTCTGGGAAATATTTTGCTTGAGAATTATCCTTGTATGGAAGGTAAATCCGTTATTTTGCTATCGATTTTTGAATTCTATCTTCTAAATTATATTGTCAATGAAATTTTCTATTAGGGGAGAGTGAAGCGGTTTTGGCCAGTTTTTCCGTCACATCTTATAATTTTCTTATCTTAGAACACAGAACATATAAGAACTGCCAAAGAATACCTGAATTCCACCGTTGAAAATTAGTTTTATTGAATTTCTCATGACCTTTCTTATAGGTTTGGACATTGTTTTGACTTGTAGATATTAAGAATTAAATATAAAAATAACTCTTCAAATTCCTAAGTTGATTTGACCACCGCTAGAGACGCTGAAACCAAAGGGAAATTCTTTACTTCTGTTAAAATGCAAAATTTCAGAGCGGCAGAAATTTTTGTGTACTTTTCAGAATTCACTGTGCTCGAAAGGTTTCCAGAAAGCTCTGTGCAGAGGCGAAAGCGCCGAGAAATTGTGCCCACAAGTCGTCATGAGAGATGAAATGTGTGCGAGATTCGTGGAAATGGGGAGGAAGTTTAAAGGAATTGCAAGAAAGGAGTTCTCGATTGACAGGGTGACGGAAAGGCGGCGGTGTGGGCGAAGAAGAAGTCAATTTCATCCGCTTTTGGATTTTCGTCTCCTTGAATGTCTTCATCAAAGCCATCATCTCGCCCCTTTGTCCCCTCGTCGCCCTGTGAGCCATCATCCAAAGAAACTGTCATCATGCCCACCCCAGCAGGGCGAATCAGCCCAGAGACTCGCTGCCATGAGAGCGTCCAAAGTGGGCCGAGGGTTGCGGCTCTGTGAGGAATGGGGCGCCGTGCGGGGCGGGCGGGCGGATGTCGAGAGAATCCCAAACTAGCACAAAGTTCCCTTTGAAGTTGGGCCTCGGAGGGAAGCGATGTGAAAAATTTGGTGAATCTAGCGAAAGTGGGTTCGCCATACATCCGCTGAGCGATGTACAGTGCGTGCGAGCAGCCCGAGAAAGGCAGCTTGTTAGTGAAAAGTCGGGCATTGTCGATGGCTTGGGAGAAATGTGCCCCTCGAGAGAAGGAGTTCCAATTTAAAAATAATGTCTCCAGCTTTTCCGGGTGTGCTTCTTCGTTCCGTTCATGCTTGGCGAAGGAGAGAGAAAAGTCCGCCCTTCAGCGTGGTCCCATCCCTTCGGTCGCATCATGGGGCTGGGGCGAAAGAAGCCCTCTCGAGAGCGACGGAAATGAGAAATTGTCCAAAGCAATACTTTCACTACTTCTTCACTTCAATGGCTTTTGAAGTTGCTCCTCTTGAAACCTGAGTTTTCGCAGCGAATTTCCACAGAATCCACTCTGAACAGGGGGAAGTTTTCCACCCCCTCCTCCCTGTAAAATGCTCAAAAGTTTAAATTTACTGATTGAACTTGAGTTAGTCGAATGGCTTTCGACAAATTTTTCAGCATTCTTTTTAATCAAAAAAGCCCAAGAAGCACATGAAGATCGCGCGCTTTTCTTGCAAATAAATGTTTTCTGCACATCGACGAAGCCCAGATCGAGCGTCACAATATTTATGAAGAAGTTTCCTCCAAGGGGAAGATAATATGACCAAAATCTGTACACCACAATTTTTATAAAGATTCTCTAATTCTTCCTAAGACTTCAGACTTTCACTAAAATCTTACCGAAATCTAACAAAAATCTAACTAACAATTTTTTAACTCTGATTTTCAGACCTTCTGCTTCTAAGTGCAATTTTCGATATCGTATTCTTAATTAGAATCTTTCTAATCTACCAGAATCTTTGTTTTCTATGCAAAATCTTCTATTTTAAACTCTTTTTTTTGCAGAAGTGTTAAGCCTTAACACTTCTCAGAACTCTTCCTAGAATGGCAAAAGAGGCCATAATGTTTAATTTATTTGTATTACTACCTTGAGAATAAACTAAAAACTAACTGAAATCTAACTGAGAACTATAAAGCTCAAGTTTACATACATTATTTTATGATTTTCTTCTGTCAAAATTGCACTTCCTAGAACTTCTACTGATCTGTACCACTTCTCACTATATTATCTTCCCCCGTTGGTTTCACCCACAAAAATACCACGAAATATAATGGTAGAATTATCATAATGCAAATCATACGCGATAAAATTTTATTTCATTTCTGGGTAGTTTTTTCTATCTTCGCACTTCT